AAGGAAGAAGAAAGAAAGAAAAAAAGATGGGACACTCAGGTCTCTCTTTAAGCCACACCATTCTGTCGTGGAAAGTGAAACTGTGCTGATGAAGTACCAGCCCACACATACACATTATCATCTAGTATTTTATCCTTTCAGATTGCTTAATGAAATGATTTTAGCACAGTCAGTGATCTTCAGCACTCACTCTCAACACCTCTCATCCAGCTGAAGATGACAACCTCTACATGCCACAGCACTGATGCAATATTATCTTTTACCAGGGTAATAATTCCCCTTACTTTCCACAGTGAACAGCACTATTATTCCACACTCAGCTGAGATCAGTTGTTAACCTACTGGTTACTCAGAAGGGAGGCAGAGCAGTGAGGAATCCAGGGGCAGAGAAAGCTGTGCCTGCTGACAGCCTGAAAAGATAAATAGGGACAGAAAGGCTCAAAATGAAGGTGAGAAAAATCAACAAACCTTGAAGTTCTCTAGTATATAATAATACAGGAAAGAGCTCCCTTGTACAGGTGACATTTTAAATAATGTCAGGAAGCCATTTCCACATTTAGTTTTGACAGGGCATTGGAGACAAACAGGTCAGCAACTGAAATGAAAGTTTCAACTAAATCCAAAGGGGCTAGCCTTTATAAAAAGCCCTTCCAAGCCCACCGGCCTGCCTAGCAAAATCATCAGGCCCCTTGGTTAGCTATTCATCTTTACAGAAATGGAGCAGCAAGTTCCTGTCACAAACACTTCAAAATGGCTAAATATTTAAGTTTAGTCATGGGCCTTTCAGCCAAAATTCACTTAAGTCAGTTTAGTTGGACACAAAGAATGACACCAGCATAGAAGTCGACTTATACCTCCCCTGGAATAAGCAGATACGACTATGTATACGAATGGAACCAATGCTTCAAAACCTTTTCCATAAGAGCACGCTATGTCTTAAGAGCCATCCTATTACACTGTGCTTCCTTGGTGCACATGAACTATTTTGAATATACACAGTATCTTAGAATTATAGACATGCTTTTGAGGTTAAAGGAAAAAAAAAAGCTGTCGGAAGCCTATGAAGCAATTTGATAAGGAGCTGATTTTTAAAGTACTTTTGAAAGAAGTCTTCAATTTTTCCATAATATTTCCCTCCTCAACACTCCAACACAACATAAACAAGATGTTTTTTTTTTTTAGAAGGATGCCTGCCCCAGTTCCCTCTCTAGATCCCAGTGTTGTGTTTTCCTGGCAAAACTGATGCAAGGCTGTAATGCTGAAGGGGCTGAAGATGAATCCTTCACACTGCTGACTCTACCCACCAACAGAACAAAGTTTTACTGAATCTAAGACCACACACCCCTATATTTTTTTCCTCCAGGAGGTATTAATAAAGAGATGCTCCAGGAGAGCAGGAAGACTGGGAGTCAAACCATCGGCAGATGAACAGAGTGAGTGAGACTCCCTGCAACCCACGCTTCAGAGAATGACCAGCACTGTGAAAGGAAAGAAACTTGGCTCTATCTAGAGGCCACGGAGGTAAGCACAGAAGGAATCATCATGCAGCTCACATACAGCACGAAAGATCATTTGATCTTCAACCAATTACTATAAATGAAGAATAAGCAAGTTACTGTGATTTTGGTTCTTGGCCACATTAACCCAAAGTAAGCCAGTTCCAAAAATCAGAAGAACTAGCAATAGGAAAGTTTTACTACTGTAGGTCAAACCAACTTGTTACTGTTGTCCACCTTCCCAGTGAAAAACACTTTGCCAACATTACAAAACAGTGACATGAGCAGAAACACTGTGAGCTCTGACAAAAGCCTTCCTGCTGAGGAGAGCTGCTGGGTTTTTAGAACTCCCCTGATGAAACAAGCACATGAGGTTTTCCAGTACCAGTTTTGTCATATTTCTGTACTCAGTCCAGCTTCAGGTATCCTCAGAAGAGCCAAGGGAATCAGCTAACATATACTGCTACCAGTATGGTAGTCTTAAGTATCTATTAACATTAAGCTAATTTAATTCCAAGTTAGGACCACAACATTATTTACAGAGTCATCCACTCTGGAGTGCCTGCCCAAACTGTGAACCATATGCCTCATGTAAACAGACATCTTGCATTAAAGTATGAATACATCCAGCTATGTATTTAACAAGCAGTATGTAAAGACAACTTAATTTCTGATCCTGGTAGTCATGCAATGACTTTTTTCCCAAGAATGTATTCATGGTGAATACCTTCAACTTCTTTCCTTCCAACTAAAATCCCCAAGTGTTCAAAACAAAGAACAAACTCTAAGTATCCTTGAAATATGGAGCTGTGAAAAACAAAGCAAACACCCCACTTTCCCAGATTTGCAAAGCACAAAGACAGATATGGAAGCCCTTGGTCAGTAACACTGGGAAAGTGACATGTTGAAATTAACTGAGTCTCACACACTTCAATATAAACAAGGATTTCTGAACTAGTATCTTTACTAGAAATGTTATGTTAGTTCTAAAGTTATTTAGCATTAGAAATGTTACTTTAATGCTAAACCTGAATGAAAAATTAAGAAGCCCCACGAGGTGCCAAACCTTGGAGAATGGATGAAGAATATGGAAAAGATCAACATTCTGGGTCTGACCACCTAGCCACTGAGGCCAGTTATACCACCTGCTTCACACATCTGAAGATCCAGCCCAGAAATCCAAGAACTCTTCCATCTTTTAAAGCTGTAGAAAGGGTGATACTGCGAGGACTGAAATCACTGTCTGAAGTGATATCAGCATCACATTGTTTTTCTGAACAAGGATTGCAAGACATGCAAACTTCAAATGTAAGTACAGCTTAAACACAACCAAGATAAAAGTTAACAAAAAAGAATACTAATTTTGTAGACCTACTGGAAGGAAAACAGCAAAAAATCAAACACAAATATTTTTTGATTAAAACAAAAAACCCAGCCCCACCAAACCAGGAGCACAGCTTCTTTCCTTTTATCCCCTAGATATCCATCACCCAGTAGCAGTTATAGAAAAATCAACATTTCCAATCAAGGAAGCTTTGCTGGCTGTAATCCCAAATCTCCCAGGTATTAAGAAGAAAAAAAAAACAAAGTAACTGCCCAGAAAGCACTCTGCAGGTAGGCAGTAATCCGAGGCACACCCTGCTCCCTGCCCTGTCCCTAAAGGCACAAGCCTTGCTTGAGGAGTTCAGGTACAGCGCTACTGCTATTTTACATATGATCTGAAAGGCCCTTCAAATTTGACCTGTTCTAAATCATTGTAAAGGAGCTTTATTAGAAAGACAGAGAAGGAGAAGCATGTAATGTAAAATGGATTTATCAGAAATTATATTGGAATACCATGGAAAAAGTGGCTTTTAAATAATTCTTCCCAGTTCCTGTAACGTAACTGGTAGGGACAGGTATAGTCCCCAGGGTGGGCAGTCTAACAGGTTATTACTGTCCTCGAGTGATCCTTTCACTTCAAGATATTGATGTGCTATGAATTGTCAAGAAGAGCCATCAAGCAGCCTGGTTTTTGGGGAAAAGGGATGCCCAACCTGTCCTCTCAAGTTGCTGTTGGGACAACAAAACATGTCCCCATGAACGCAGCTGCAGTCAGGCATGGAAGAAGAAAATTTTTCATGCTCACCATGCAGGCCACAGTTTGCACAACTCATGTCTTCACAAGTGCCACAAATTCAGGAAGAAAAAAAAAAAAAAAAAAAGCAAGTGAAAATAATTAAGGCAGTTTTGTTGGAATGCTGCCATCACTCATAGATGTCTCTACTATGACTTTCTGACCTACTGTTTTTCCTTGAGCATATAACCCTAACCAGAGCATGGAATACACCAGGAATGATTTTTCTTATTTAGACTGTTATTGGGATGACATCTTCAACAAGAAAAGAAATGAAAGAACATCCTGGTGACAGCTGGCGTTTGGGTGGTGACCATTTTTTTTTTGCTTGGGATTTTGCTGTGCATTTTGTCTTTTTTTTGTTTGTTTGTTTTGGTTTGTTTTGTTTGTTTGTTTGTTTTTTTCCTCCTATGACTAGACATGCTTACATAGATAGCAAAGAACTACAATTCTGAGAAAAACTGTTTCAAATGCGAGAGAACTAAACATTTTATCACTCAGTCTGCAACACTCTGGTGCTAGCAGGATGCAAAAGCCCTGCACAGATGGCTCCAAAGTATTTTGGGAAGCAATTCAACATGATCAATATATGATATTCTACTGACCATATGAGTTCTTAAGCTTCTGGTCAGATCACGTAGGAATTGCCACACCACCCCATCAAGTTGAGCATTATTAACCCTCTTCCTACAAGGTTTAGTACAAGGTAACAGCTTTCTGTAGCACTCCCGCAACAAGTTCAACTTGCTTGTTTTCAGCACAAACTAAATACCAGCAATTCTTGCAGAGCAGGGTTGAGGGTGCTGTGCCAATAAGGAGCTTTACTCCACCCTGAGGTCACTGCTCGCTCCCTTTATATGTCAAGAAACCGCAGCTTTGCCAACATCGTCAAGTGGGAGTTGAATTCTCTGTGACTGGCACAGACAAAAAAAAAAAGAGACTAATTCACAATAACCTGCACTTCTAATGCCAGATAACAAGACAGAAAACCACCATCAAAAAGCTGTTAGTCTAGTAGCCCAAAAGCAAGCAGCTTGCACTTACCAGGCCTGCAGCAGAGAAGCAGGAGCATTCTGGAGAACGCGTGGTTATGATCAGCAATATGATTTCCTACCCCTGCCTATGAATCATGTGGTCTCCCTCCCTCTTACTACTCCGTTTCACCTGTGTTTATAGGAATACCATGTTAATCTCTGTGTAAGCATCAAAATAAGGGAACTGCCAAAGCCCAAGGCCTTCCCAAACACTAGAGATCTGTACAAGAAAGGCAGTACATGGAAGGGTTTCTTTAATCTGTTTCCAAATTAGGGACCAAATTTAGTGGTGAAGCAAGAAAACACAGTGAGGTAAGAGACTACATAGTTTAGGGAATTTTTACAAGGACATACCAAGTCCTCCATCTTGTGGACAAGGGCTTAACTTCTTACTGATGCAATATCCTAAAGATTCTTCTTGGGCACTCTGACGAGGGTTGCCCTGGAGAAATATAGCCAACATTTTAAGAGTTGCCCTAGGAGATACCAGAACCAGGCTTTAAGAGCATGACTGCTGTGAAATCTGGCATTAGAAATACACTGTATTTTGTACATTTGCCATTTTTCCTGTAGTCACTACCTTGCAACCAAACAAATGTAGAGATGATTACAGCCTCTATTCTAGAAAAAAGGACCTGGCTTTCACAGTTTGAGTAGTACTGAGCTTGAAAATCTGACTGAAGCCTGCTCCACAAAGGATCGAAACAAGCAGGAAAATTAATTTCCAAAGTAATATTTTCAATCTCCTCTTTTTGAAGTCAGACTTGCATTTTTGAACACTTGTGGTTGGCGCCACTTTTGAAGGTTGCCCAGAGGCCTACCCTAAGCAAACGCATCAGCAGAGCTGTTTCATGTCTCTGGCAGGCATCCACATCCCAACATTGCCCCTCTGAAGTCCCTGCAGAGTTCACTGCAGGTGCAAGAGAAGAAAAATGCAATGTTGTGTGTCACCACAGCAGATCCACTGCCTAAGGAGCAGCACTGTTCAGCTGTGGAAGGCAACTCTGCACAGACTCACCGTAGCTATTTGTAGCTGTTCAGATAAGCAACTATCACACAACTCCCCAGCCCAGGTTCTGCAGGTTTGTTTACCATGGCACCGTTTCCCGTTAAATCCATAGTTGAAGCCTGTTGACCTTTAATGCGTGGAGACTGCGCTCTTAAAACTGTAAGCACTGGCTCTACATTCATCATTTGCTTGCAGATTTTCCTCCTCCCTTGCTAGAAGCATTCATCCATATACGCAGAAAATTAAATGGAAGGGGATCATAAGGTCTCTCTTCTGCCACTGGCCTAGTTTCAAATCCAACCATTATTAGCTCTCCTAAAAAACGTTTGTGCTTTCTGATGCCAATTAGCCAAGAAATTAAGATAAAAGGAGGTATTCCCTTTGTGAGGAATTAAAGCTTTGAAAAAGTACGTACCTCTACAGGTTGGCAGATGAAGCTGCCTCTTGATGCCAACGAGCCATTTACAAATGCCATCCATACCCTGCATTCTGCTGCATGACAGGATTCTCTGACTTCCAATGCTACATAGTTGGAGCAATACTTACTCCCAAGACATGAGAAAATAGCAAGGAGCAGGTCAAGCCTCAGTATACTATAACGCCCCTAACTCCTGCTTATATACAAACAAAGTTGATCTGTTCCCATGAGTTTTAAAGAGCCATGACAGATCTTTCAGACAGAAGTCACCTCAAGTATTTGTTACAATCACACTGTTTTCCCCTCCCCACAAATTTTAGAAAGAGAAAGAGCGAGAGCACCCACAGAGTGCCAGATAAAGCTAAGCATGACGTGAAGAATCCAGAGGAATGTAAGTTGCTGCTCACGTCTGCCTTCCAGAACTCCCCAGCATTGTATTTTTAATTCACCACCCTATTAATATGTAAATTGTATGAAAAAGCTCCAAAAAGAGGCAGGAAATTCTAAAGGGTACCTCCTGGTAACCACCCCAAAATCACCTAAATGAAAATTGGAAAGGACCAGGATTATGTTGCCTTAAGCTTTTCTAATTAAGTTTGCCAGAAGTTTGCTTGTTTTTGAAAGAAACGTGTGTTTGTGGAAAAAAAAAAAGTTAATGCAGAAGGTTTTCATTTTCTGATCATGTAATTCAAAAGCAGCTGCAGAAGAACCTCATTGGTTCAGGCTAACAAAAACAGCCTCTCCAAGTTAGTAAATTAGTATTCTCCCTGGTCTACAGATGAGAAGGGAAATGACTAAGGAGGACTTCATAATCGGTACCTATTAAAGGGATGCTTCCACAGTAGAAAAAAATTTAACTCAAGAGATTCCAGTCCTGGTCTCCTGAGACAACATTTATTGCTTTTGTAGCTACTGAAAAATGCTTAACTGTATCAAAAGACATGAAATGTAAATGCTTTCCAGCTTGCTATCACTTAACAATGCATCTTAAGACAAAACCTGCTAGAAAAGCTAGGAGTATTACTAAGGCAGTGCCCTTTATATTGCAAAGAAAAAAAATCCTCTTGTTTTTATGAGCAACTTGTAGGATTCCCTGAACTGCTTTGATTTACCATCAGTTGCTGGAGGACAGGAAGCAAGGCTGGCAATATCGTATGCTGAAAACATCACGCAACGCCAGCCACAAGTAAACACTGAAAAACATTCCCACAATGTGGCCTTGAAGAATGATGTCTGGCCTTAGCCAGAAATCTGATGGCAAATAAAAATATACTGACTTAGCTTAGGTAACTAAAAGCTTTCAGGGAGAGGGAGAAAAGTAAACATAATGATTTAAGTAGTGTTAAACAAGATTTTTAACTTTGAAAGCCAATAAAAAAAAACTTGTTTCTTATCTTCACATCTACACAATATTTGAATATTAACAAGTCATTTCTGTACTGGTGAGCACAGAAGTACCAACAATCCACTTTTCCATTCCTCCCATTAAATCCATGTAAATGTCTCTTTAAAAACCTGTGTATAAAAATGAAAGAATGAGGAAGAGTTGATACATACATGCAACAGGAAAAAAAACCCTTAAAGTTTCTAGTTGCTTTAAGGCAGTCACTTTAAACATCCAGCAAAATACCTGTGTGCCTTCTACCCAGCGCTGCCTCACTGAAGCCCTGCGGCAGCCGGGTCCCCTACCTGCATGGCCCGTGCCAGGAGGGATCTCACCTGCGCACTGCATCCTGCGGTAATCCTAGTAGCTCTACCATGGTCCCGCCACCAAACCCTTAAAGTTTCTAGTTGCTTTAAGGCAGTCACTTTAAACATCCAGCAAAATACCTGTGTGCCTTCTACCCAGCGCTGCCTCACTGAAGCCCTGCGGCAGCCGGGTCCCCTACCTGCATGGCCCGTGCCAGGAGGGATCTCACCTGCGCACTGCATCCTGCGGTAATCCTAGTAGCTCTACCATGGTCCCGCCACCATGCCAGATGCGATCTCGCCGCCTCAGACGGCTCGGAATGCAGAAGAGCCAGAGCCGGAGCCTGGCGAGCGCAAGGCTGCGTTGGGCTCCCCGGCTCGCCGGGAAGGAG